ATTTCGTGGAAAAGATAAGTCGATAAGCAGCTTTTACATGAAATGGTTATTAGAAAAGTTAAATTACTTTTTAGCATTACTTATATTTGAACCAGTTCTAAAGACAAGCTCATTTAATATTGAAAATAATTCAAAAACAGTTACTTGAACTCTTCTTGAAGCTAATACCTACTGGCACAGCATATTACTAATCAGCATACCGATCAATCATCTTACTTATTCATCGTACTTATCTAGATGTTCAACAGCTTATACCATATGATAAAAAAACGGCATCTAAGACGGCTGGGAAATGAAAATCGATTATAATTTTAGCAAGGTCAAATTGATGATAATTTTGGAGAGATCTTGGCCCGCACTATTTTTTAATGGCGCCTATTGTCAGTTGGCCTTAAGAAGGTTGAAATTTATTTTTGTATTGAGTAAAACTATGATTTTTAAATGGTGTAGTTCTAAATTCAATAATTTTTTTTGGAAATAGATTTGTGCGTCTGGAAACGGTTCTCTCCATAAGGACTTTTTTTAAAGATAGAGTTTTTATATAAATAATTACAAAAAAATATAAAATATATAACGGTATTTATGTAAGTGAGGTTCCAGACTCCGGGTCTCTAGACTCCAATGAATCTACTTAGCAGATGCAACGCATATACTCAAAAATATGCGACGATGATCAGCTGGTACTGAATAAGCTAGAGCTATAAGTACCTAGTAGTGGTGTAATTTGATTTAAGCTTCATTCAGAACCTCGCAATTGGTGGAATAAATTAGTGGTTTCAATTACACTCTATACTTTTTAGTTTACGATCATTTATAATGTCTAAAAAACACAACTAAAATTAATAGAATATCCTACGACCAGCTTGCGGTAGTCAGTTGTATCCATAGAGAAAGCCAAATATTTAGCTTATAAAACAATAAACTTTTAATTTTTAACTACAATTTCTCTTGATGAATTTAGACGTTCTGAATGCTTACATTAAAATTAAAGGAACAAACTTCTACGCTAATTGGAACCACTAATTGCGAGGTTCTGAATGAAGCTTTACTCATAAAAAAGTCCTCTTAAACCAAACCTTGTGTTTAAGTTGAGATACTGAAAAAAAGCTACTCAAAACTGCATGCTTATATCGTTAAAAGTATAATAATTATCAAAAATCATAAAAAAATAAAAAAAGGTAAATGCATTTATTTTTGATATCTGAAGTATCCGGGCTATTTTCAATTCAATTTCTTGAAAATTTGTAGTATTATAAGTGTAGTAAATGCGCATTACAACAAAAAATAATAGAACAAAAGGTATTCTTTTCAGTTTGCTATAATTGCAAACTCGTCCGTCTTTCGCAAAAAGCACAATAATAAAACAAAATCAGAAAAAAAAATGGAAAAGATTTAGTTTTATTTGGAATGAAATTTCTCGTGAAATTCAAATTAAATGAAAATTATGCAGAAATTAAATTACATTAAAAGGAACGAGCAACTAATTGCTCTTTAAGACAAAGAAAAATAAAATCTGGAAGTAAGCAACATAATTATCCTTATTAAATCAAAATTATCTTTTAGAGAAAATGGAGCAGACGAAAAATGTTGAGCCGTACTTTTCTTAAGGGATTAGTATAATGCGGATTAATTTTTTAATAAAAAAAACGGAAGGAAAAATTGGAAGTTATTTTTTACATTAGAACCATACCTTTGTTTTTGGTCCCAGTCAACAGACCTATAAAATAGTGTATATCTACAACCGTTTAGTTATAACGTTTTTACATCACTATTTTTTTAGTATTTCAGTTATGTGATTCATAACACAACTAGTGGTGTTATGAATCTATAACAGAACTTTTTTTTTATAATAATGAAAAACAACGTTCTTCTTCAGGGATATTGCGGCTCGCAACATAGAATAAAACGTCCATAGACTTGATGCGCTGTGTTTCCGTGCAAGATTTTCAAAATATGCTAAAATTACTTTTTCATTGCATTGATTTTTCACCTTTTTGTCATCACACCATGTCAAAAACTGGTTGTATGTTTTTTCATATTTTGATCGCGACTTTTCCGGCAATAATGATTCCGTGGCACGTATTGCGGCAACTTCTACATCTTAAGGGAGACTTTCGGAATCGCTCATCGTAATTTTTAAAATTAATTTTCTGGGTAAACAGTGCTCGCGTTTACTCTCTCGACTTGATAAACAACGTTTGTAACTATAGTCTGAAGCAGGTAACAATTCCCCACAATTATAATTAAAAAAATGTGACAAATGTCATAGTTAAAGGTGGGCGACTAATAGACGAAAATTAAAATAGCATTTTGTTATTTTTCGGTTGTAGATAAAACGTTGTACATGACACGTGTGTTTAAACATGATTACAACACTCGTGTGATTAGATATTCACGCTCGGTGTTGTAATCATGTTCATAAACACACTTGTACTGTAAATAACTATTATGATCTATGTAATGTCATTTATAATCATATTGTTATTGTCTGTTGAGCGGTTAATCTTAGCAGAGATGGTTTTAAGTTCAAAAGTTGATCTCTACCATGATCAATTAAAGCAGCAATAGCCGATAGTTCACAACTTAAGACCATCTCTGCTAAAGTGAACATCAATAAACCATAAAAATATGACTTTTTAATGACGGTAGCATTAGAAAAACAATAAAAACTATTTTATAAGTGTGTTTATGAGGACCTAAAAACAAAGGCATGCTTTCAATGCTAAAATTACTGTAAATCATTACTGTCGTATTAAAAGTTAATAACTTCAATAAAAATAAAGCTATTGAGATGAATAAAAAACTATCGAGAAAAGACGCTCGTAGGTGATAAAATGATTTTTAAATTTCTTGTTTTGTTAATATATTCCACAGGGTGTTGCACTCTTCAACTTTCACCAAAATATCAACATTTTGTTTTTCCTCTTATAATTGACAGACAGGAAATTTCATTTTAATTTAGAAAGATGTACTAAAAATTCAAAGAATGTCTATTCTAATCTATATGCGGATTCTCATCTCTCCAAAAAAATCAAAAATTAAAAAAAATTAAAAAATAAAAAATAAAAAAATAAAAAAATAAAAATTAAAAAAATTAAAAAATTATAAAAATATATATAAAATAATTTGTAATTTTTTTTAACAGAACGTCAACGGTTTTTGTAGACGTATCTGTTTTAAAGAATTGGTCAAGTGCGAGTCGGACTGGCGCACGAAGGGTTCCGTACCATTCATTATAATATACAACATTAGACACTATATTATTATAATTTTTTTTCCGATTTAGCTGAAATTTTGAATGTGCGTATAAGTAATTTAAAAAAAAAATAAAGAAACACGTTACTAAAAATTGTATTAATAATAAATATGTAAAAATTATAAAAAAACGATTAAAAAAAGTCGCCTTGACTAGGATTCGAACTTGCCTTACTACGGCACCAACGTCATAGCAGCGTAAAGTCCTAACACTTTAACCACGCGGCAACTGAGGATTTGAAAGGTTCTATGTAAAATTCTTACTTAAAAGATAATGTTTAGTGGAAGTACTTTTTTATTTATAAACATTTATTTAATTCTGTTTTTAGTATTTGTTCTTATAGCGGCAACATAGATACATTATCTGTAAAAATTTCAACTGTCTAGCTATAACGGTTCATAAGATAGACCTCTGTGACAGACGGACGGACTAAAGGACAGCGAAGTCTTAGTAATAGGGTTCCCGTTTTTACCCTTTGGGTACGGAACCCTAATAAAAAGCTATTGAGATGGATAAAAAAAGACTTTCCTAGATGATAAAATGATTTTTAAATTCCTTGTTTCGTTAATATATTTCAAAGGGTGTTGCATTCTTCATCAAAATATCAACATTTTGTTTTTCCTCTTGTAATTGACAGACGGGAACTTTCATTTTTCATTTAGAAAGAGGTAAGTACTAAAAGTTCAAAGAATTTTAGTTACAAACTGATTAAAAAATAAGCAAATAAAAAAAATACCACTTGAACAAAATATTTTAAATTTTAAAATATATCAAAATTTAAAGGTACCCGCTTTTTGTGACAGTTTGTGTATATCTACAACTGTAAACTATATCTGAAACAATGTAATTTATTGATGAAAAAAACATTTGTTACAGTTGTCACATAAATAACGGTTCCTCCATCGCAATCCAATCGCAAACATCAAATATAACAGTCGCAAGAAAGCCTTACGACATTTTAACAGCCATCCCGTTACCCTTCCCGCTGTTGTTTCCCAATCGCATTATCCAAAATGGATTTGCATGTTCCGATCCAGGGTCCCTTTTTTATTGCCTATTGGAGCTCAAAATTTTAACTCTAAATTGACCTTTTTTACGCGGTTTTTATTGCCTCCGGGCTAGAATAAAAAAGATCCCTAATCAGTTCAGGGGAGAATTGAGTTATGTGCGCCAGCGAAGATGTGCCGAAAAGCCTATGTAAACTGGGCGTTATTATAATGAAAAAATACGTAATGTGGTATAGAGAGGGAGAGTATTATGTTATATGAATATGTAAACCAATTTTCAACACGAAGAATTATTATGGAAAAATGGTGAGCAAATTGTGATTTATTTTAATAGCTTTTTATATAAAATGAATCATATTTAACGCCTGTGATAAATGAAGAGTTAGTTTTTGAATGTAAAAGCATGATAAACACTATAAAAATAAGTCAAAGTGGATTGGAAATGAGTATCAGTGGTATTAACTCTGACACCGTCATGAAAATTTTCTCTCTGGAGAAATCGTACATTTCCAGATAAACGTAAAAATGTTTGTAATTTGAAGGAATTTAACACCACTGAGAAAGGCGTTTCTTGAAAAAAGGGTTGTCGTTGTGTCTTGAAAAAAGGTTGACTATCATGAACTGGAATCTTCCTCTTCTTCTTCTTCCTCAACCCGGATTCATCCACTCCTGGATATAGGTCTCTCCTATCCTTTTCCATGTCTCCCTGTTTTGTGCTGTATTTAACCACCGTTTACCTGCCACTTCCCTAATGTCGTCCACCCAACGTTTCTGTGGACGTCCCACACTTCTTTTAGTTTGTCTTGGCCTCCACACTGTTATTCTATGCGTCCATCTGTCTTTATCCAGTCTAGCACCATGTGGCCATGGTGCTAGACTGGATAAAGACAGATGGCTGGCGCCCATTGCCATTTCATTTTAGCCACTTTCTGAATTATATCCGTAAAATATTTTCCTGAAATACATCCTAACACATACTTTAGGTTGACACTTATACAAAATTCTTAAGTTTTTATTATAGGAGCTACAGAAGCCGACGCGACCCACTGTTGCCGGGCCCGTAGGAAATCTTTGAACTGTGTCAACCTCTATTTGCGGCAATTTTTTGATTGAGGCGCCCTTATAACATCATGCATAGAATAAAAATAGCTTTAATTTGACATATAAATGATCGAAAATTTTTATAAGCATATTGCCGTCCCCAAAATCAGTTATTATTATCAATTGAACATAGTTGCGGCAACGTTTTGATAGGCACCGTTAAAAGTGTATTCGCCTATTCATTAATATACGTAAAAATTAGGTTTTGATTAAAAATACGATGAGCGTAATAATCCTGAAGCCGGACTATAAGAAGCAATATAAACAACGTTCTTTTCAAACGTTTATTTTTAAGATTTTCTTCCACTAAAAAAGATTGTAACAGAAGCAATCCAAAAACAAACTCAAAGAAAAGAATTCTCTCGAATTTTTTTGCCATATATATATAACGAAATGATTACATGAGATTCGCCGCAAGTAGGTATATATGAAAAAACTTGGCGTAAACTTTTTTAACCGAATCATGGGCAATTTTCTTTTACGATACTCCGAAATTAAGGTACTGGAGACTGAAAAAAGTTTTCTTATTAGAGGGGTTTACGGTAGCCTTTTGCTCTATCCAAACAAGATATATTCAGTAGGATACAGAAATGAACAGTCTTAAAAGTTTTTTATACGTCATATTACATGAAGCTACTTTCTTTCTTGAAGATTTATTTGGGAAACTAACGAGTTTTATCAAGGTAAAAAAGTTTTTGGAATTCCTAAAAATGGAAAAAGAAATATTTAATTTTCTTATTTTCTATATAAGGCTACAAGCTAGAGATATAACCAACATGCTAAAGGTTCTTTTAATACGTATTCCTACGGATTTGTTGCAAACATACAGTTTATGAAACGCAGCAACAACTACTTCACGTTAAATTTCAGTCTAAATTTTACCGCAGCAATCTACAAGCTGAAATTAGTCACGCTCAAAGTTACATATTAATTTATTTAGAACGGTTAAACTTCATTTAATATGCAGTGAAAAGTTTCCTCATAATTCTTGTTTCAAATTGAGCGCACGACATGAAAGAACTTTAAGGAAGGTATTAACAAGTATTAATCTTGAAGAAAAATATGCAAGATATAATTAAAAAGAAAACACTTACTTAAATAGAGAACTAAAATATTCATTAATTAATTTTTGATTAAAATGTAATATGTAGAAGATATAAATATTCTAAATACACTCTCTAGGGATTAAATAAAGATCTCCTTTTTTAACTGAAACACTCTGTATATTATTGCATTTTTAGCTTCCTTTCAGATCACTTTGCATAATTCCAAGATATAATTATATATTTATATTTCGATAGTTTAAAAGATACTTATGAAATAAATAAATAAAAATATACATTTTTCAGCCTTTCATAAAAAACTATTAAAAATACAAGAACTGTCTTAAAATCAAAACTATATTGGATATTTACTTTAGATGGTTTATACTTACTTTCCTATAAATATCGTAATCTTAAATCCAAACAGGGTCTTCAAAATTCTACGCCAAACTTTATAAAATATAAAATCATTCTTCGTTTTTTTAAATGGAAGATCCTGTATATTATTTTTTTATTAGACAGAGATCTAAAAAAATGACATTTTTTTGTATTTAGAGCATTTCAAATTTTTTAATGGTTTCGCAGATACTCGCGGTGTTATTTTATATGGTTTTAATGTTAAAATACGAAACAAACATCTTTGAGTGGCTTTAATAAAAATTTACTGTGAAAAATACCATAAAATATGAAATATAAAACCGCAGATATCTGCCAAACCGTTAAAAATTTTGTGATACTCTAAATACAGAAGATGTAACCAAGTAAACAGTCATAAAACAACCATAAAATTAAACGCTGATAAAAGACACAATCTCCGATGATTAATTTAAATCAAACTTCACTAAAAGTTAGCATCAATCACGTCATAATATAAAACCATTTAATTATAATATGACAATGACAAATCTAAGGAAAAAACTTGAAAATTCGGTCCTTAGTTATTCTGTCTTCCTCCAACGAATTTATTTTCGAAGTTCTTAAAGCTCGACTGATTAAAACCTAAAAAGCTCTCTGGAACGTATTAATTAGAAGTTGAATGTTGTTCTCCATGAAGTTCGGCGTTTAAAGCCTTTGCTATTTAAGTCCATTACAGATGAGCGAAAAATTAATCTTGTTAGTAAATTAAAGTGGTCCATTGTTTTCCGGTTTTAATTAATAATTTGTTTACTATATTTAAATGATACCCCTATTTTTGAACTGAACAAAGTACTACAATGTTTTTAATAATGTCTTTCAAAAAGTTTAAATATGTAAATAACCAAAGAAATCAATTAGAAATACAAACATTTTCGTTAATAATTAAATAATAAGTAGGGTCATTTATGAAAAAAATGTGTTATGGTAACTAATTTATGTTTTAATTCAGTGAAATCTATATCTCGCACTGTTTTCCTCATTTCGATATTTCGGCCAAAACGGAAATTATATAAACAATAAATTCAAGTGCGTTCTGTGGAAGACGCTCAATACAGGTATATATTGAACTAATCCGTTATTTTTTAATATACCAGGTGTTTCTCAAAAGTGGCTTGCCCTTATATTTTTTTTTATTTTTTCAGATAAAAAATCTAATTTGGTATATTAGTATATGACATGAATTAGGATTGATTGACGTATTCAGTTGTTTTCGGTCACCTGCTTCACCGGAAATTACTACATTTGATTCTTAAACCAAAAAAAAACACAAAATCTCTTTTTTTATCTGAAAAATAGAAAAGTTATAGAGGTGAGCCACTTTTCAGAAACACCAGGTATAAGCTCACTTATATTAACATTTATTTTTAACCTTTCTTCTGGAATCATTCTGGAATCGCACTGGTTTTTACTAAAGATATAAACAGCCTTAAAAACATGAATTGTTCAAATATTTAAACTTTTATAGTCTTCTAAAGAATATATAATTTAATTTCGGCCGTGTTTAATTCATAACAAATTATTTTTATTAAAAACAAACAATTTGTTGTGTAGCCATTTCGAGTGAGACACTTGATTCCAAATATATTAGATATAATACAAAAAAAAATTATTCTGATATTGTAACAATATACCTTACTTTCTAAACATTTTTACAATCAAAAATAGTTTGATTTTACAGAAATTAAATGACTATTTGAAGCAAACTGTAACAAAAAATATCTATTTCGATTCAAAATTTCGTAAAAGCTATCCAAATATAAAGAGCGAATCATGTGTCATGGAATTATGCATTTAATAGATTTAAATCATAATTGACTACTACAAGTACTATCTATTTTTAAAATAAAACGTTAATTGTAATGTGATTAATGTTAATGATATAGTTAATGTCACATAGAGACAAAAATAATTAATATCAATCTTGTATGAAGAAAGTATCTTATTACATAATAGTTTCCTTTCATACTATAGAATAGAGATCTTAAAATTAATCTAAAAATAACGATACATTTCCACACGAAAATTAAGTTTACACGAAAGAAAATTGATTTTCCCACCTACGTTAAAAATCGCTTAATATAATTTTGTACCACGAAAAATAAAATGAATACAAAATATAACGTCGATATTGACGTATTTTTAATATATTCCTTACAAAAATAAATTCTGGCTTAAAAACATAATTTATGATAGCGGTATTTTTATCCAGAATATTTACAAAAAAAAGTAAAAACACCATTAGCTGCGCTAAATACCTCGTGGTTTATACTAGGTACGTCTTCTTATTTTGTTTACTGTTTTATAAAATACCTGCAGCTATACCAAAATGAAAAAATATGGCTTATATAGAGCCCCATCTTTTCAAATTAAATCCATCTCGAGAATCTTACTTATTTTTGTTTGTTTTTCGTAAACAAGAACTGTATAAAGCTGCAGTTGCTGTATATTTTTTAGAAAAAAGAACTATTGTAATGTGTTTTGATGTATAAATAGAGTGAACTCAGTTAAATTGAATTACATCTTATATTTCCTGTTGTATACAGCGTGGTCCGAACTGTATTTCGAAAACTTCAGAAGCATATTCTGCAGATAAAAATAAGTAAAAAAGTTCGTATAAATGTATCCTAAAATGCTTAGTTTCGGAGATACAGGGTGTAGAAATTTCATCTTTATTTCGATTTTTTCCATATAATTTCTGAAATAACGTCAATATTTGGATGAAAATTGGTGTTTGGGTGTTTTTTGACATGAGAAATTTGATTTTGATGTCAATTTGACTCTTATATGTAGAATGCGCCACTTAACATATGTTTTTACTGCTTTGAAGAGTAATAACTTTTCGTTCGTACCTGTATAAAACTACTGAATAAAAAATATACATTTATGACATATTTTACGTTAAAAAGGTCTGCTGGTAAAAATCGCTACGAGTAATGGTTCTCGATATATTTGGAATCAAAATTCTCAATACCTGTCATCATTGACATAAATTAAACATGTTGACTAAATAGTTATTAGACTGAAATCATAAATTTAAAATGTTTTTGTGCGAAAAGTTCAACAGAAACGGTTTTATCAACTTCTACACCCTGTATCTCGGAAATTAAGCATTTTAGGACATACATTTATACGAACTTTTATTTCTTATTTTTATGTGCAGAATATTCTGCCGAAGTTTCCGGAATACAGTTCGGACCACCCTGTATATTTACTAGCTGACCTACTAACCTGCCTAACTTCGTACTGATTCATGGCGACTGCCTACCTAACTTCGTACTGATTAATGGCGTCCGCACACGGATCGTCTCGAACTCGAAGCGGAAGCGTCTCGAACTTGGAGCGAATCTCCCT